GATTATCTTCCAGCGAACAGAAGATATCCCAGTCTTCGCACTCCGTGCATCTGAGTCGTCTTTGCGGTACAGGAGAAGGACGAGACAAATCCGGGCTTCCTAGCCGCGAAAGCAACATCTCCCCATCATCAGCTGTCTGCGTCGCCTCGCCATCCTCCCGGATATCAGCAAGCCCGAGATTACGCTTCTTGCCCAAGGGCTCGTTGTTCGGATTGCCTTTTAGCTTTAGACGGCGTTTGCCTAGGCTGGCGACGCTTCTTTGGAGTGACGGGCGTGAGGCTACGGTTGGATACCCGGGAATGGGCGCGTCTGGCAGGCGACGCCGTGCTGGTGGGCGCTGGGGCTCGTTTATGGAGGCTTTGATGGTCTTTTCTGGGTTGGGTTGGGTTTTTTCGCGGCGCCGTTGCAGGGACGTACGGGGGTTGAGGTCTGGTGATAGAGGTAAGGTTGGCGGCGTCGTAGGCTGGTCTTGTGCAGGCCTTGCCTGAGTATCGGACTCAGCTTTGGGAGTCAATGATCCAGATTTCGGGGATTGTGGTGGAGTGGCATCTTCCTTCTCTTGTGCTGTCCCCTGTTCCGATTTTGGGAGTTTTGTTGATTTCATAGTTGCTCAGGGACGATTGCAAAGCTTCATCTTTTGGGCTGGGAGAAAAGCTTTTCATTCATACATGTGTGGGATATTCTTTGTGTTTGCAATGCGGCGGTGAGTCAAGAAGATTCACGAGGCAAACCGATGTGTTTCATTGACCCACATTTGATAAGTTTGATTCTGAGTTTTGTCAGAAAATTGGGCTCGACACGATTGAGGATCGGAGTGAATTTTCTAGTTCTTTGGATGAACTTTCCAGAAGGTGGATGTCGTTGCCCCCTTTTCTCGCTTAATATCTGGAGCTTTTTACAGGAATTTAAGCACTAGTAAACCAGATCTTATTTTGTATGGCTAGCAAGTTGGTATGTCCATGGGTTTTACTATTAAAATAGCATTTTTCTATATCTTGTTATATCCAGCTTCTCGCTCTTTCAAGACCTTTAATATGAAATGCAGTTTCTACCCTCATTGGTAGCCTAAGCTTAAGTCTATGGAAAATAGATCTTCAACTCAACGGCATCACTACACATAACACAAAAGGATCTATCTTAGACCCCCTTTGCTAGATCCGCGGATGTACCTCTATCTTACTTTCATTAAGGTCCGCACTTACAGCTCTTGCACCTTTCCAGAGAACTTCTAAAAGACAATCAATATAAAGGGTTTGCTTAGAACTGTCTTATTGTTAGCAAACAAAGTCCTTCATACCTTATTATCCTTATTTAAACTTTAGGTCAAACACCTATGTGAGATATTGCTCTTTTGTGTCCTTTTACAAGGAAACTAAGTAAAGATTGTCCCCTTACTCCTCACTAGCCTCATATGGCTCTTGATATCACGTCTTTCAACGATGCACTAGCGTCTAACAATAAACATCTAAGTGAAATTAGGCTATGCTAGATCCTATTAAAGTGTTCACTTAACAGTGAGATAGTTCAACGATGCTCCTACATCCTTCACTACCCTTTTTGAACTTGGAAATAACCTCTTAAATGTGTTAAGTAAAGAAACTAAAAGTTGACATATATGTAAAGGTTTGTATAAAGGCGCACCTTTCATTGTAAACAAGCCCCCGTAGTTCATTCTTTATCCTCACTACCTTCATTTCTACTTCGATAACACTTAACGCTTTACGTCTCCCCGCAAGTGAACTTCACACGACCGTCACCTAGCAGCCCTGTCAATCTACTCTGGCGCACCTATTCCTTCCGGGCGACGACTCAAGACCTGTACGTGGTGCCTTCTACTAACCTATGGATGATATCCTAAGGAGTGAGCTTTGCGACCGCTATTGCCGTCGCTTTACACCACACCCCCAAAGCCGAGTTTGAGTCATTTAGGGACGCTTCCCTATTATGCACGATAGAGGTTACCGACACCGTGGCTTCTACACCTGAGGAAAGCGACTACTTACAACCACGATATCCTCCCTTCGTCTTTCGAACTACGAGTATCACAATAACGGCATGAGGCGGTGGATAATGGGCGGGGAGAGGATAGAGGAACAAGGAGCAGGAGTGAGGTACCCCTCGTGAGAGGAGCTTTTAGGCTGGGCGATACCCCCGATAACATCCAGGCCTCCCTTGAGACAGCGCGATATATAGCAGAGAGGTATAAGGAGTGGGAAGGAAGGAAGGATGGCATAGTTGGAAGTAGGGAATGTGCGCAGATATGCTGCCTGTCTAGGATTACCTGTGGCAGCACTCTACGTATAACATCTAGTGGTCCATCCCGCACTGAGGGGCAGCTCACAGTCATAAATCTCTTTAGATACCTCCGCACCTGAGTGTAGAATACTTTCTAAGGCTATTTATGTAAGGGAATTGCGACACTGCGGGATCAGGGACCCGGGACTGTCTAGAGAGGGAAGGCCTTTTTCCTCTTGTAGTTTTAGCTCACTCTATAGATAGGACTTTATAGATATAAACCTTTAGCTTAGCACGTCTTCATACCCCTGGGGAGACCTAGGGTTATTGGCAGTAGCTTAGCTGTTTGATTTATGCTCGTATTTAGGACACAAATAAATATCATCAGCATTTCGCACACCACAACACTCGAAGCACCGCTTCAAAATTGCAACTACAAACACACACCTCCTTTCATTACGTCCGCACACCACAACACATAAAGAACGCATTCAAATTGCAACCAGACACACACCTCCTTTCACCTCGCCCGTACCAACACAACAATGGCATCATCTTCCCACCGCCAACCCCAATGGAAACCAAACCCCGACGCCAAAGGCAACAACATCCCACCTTGTCCCCGCTGCGCGCGCAAAGGCCCCTCCTTTACCACTCGTTACCATCCCTGCAAAGGCGTGCCATGCGGGCCATGCCGCAAACGCACGCGCTTCCGAGACGGCACTGGCGGACTCAACGCTCATCAATGCCGCACGGGCACAGGAGGAACGCCGCCGCACAAGCAGAAACCCCATAAACCATACCACCGCAAGGAGGAATACGTTTTTAGAGGCGTGGTGTATAAGAAGGTGACGCGGGAGGAGGAGAAGGAGATGGGAATGAAGGAACATCCGGGGGTTGCGATGGGGTATACCGAGGAGGAGATGGAGGATGTTTGTGAGGAGTGTGGGGGTTGGGAGTGGTGTCGTTGTGGAGTTGATGAGGAGAAAAAGGAAGAAGAAGAAGAGGAAGAAGTGGAAGAGGAAGAGGAAGAGGAAGAGGAAGAGGAAGAGGAAGAGGAGGAAGAGGAGGAAGACGAGGAGGACGAAGAAGAAGAGGGGGTCGTTGACGATGGGCTGGGGTCTAAGCGTGAGAGTGATGGATGGGGTGGGAGACGGTCGCGTGGAGATGATAGTGGTCGTGGAGGTGAAGGTCGTGCTCCGTCTCAAGATAATATGACTGCAGGTTATGGAAATGGGGGACAGAGTATAACTTCAGGTAATGGATGGGGTGGGAGAGTTTCACGTGGAGGTAGTGGAGGTAGTGGAGGTCGTGTTCCGTCTCAGGGTCAGAATATGACGACAAGTGATGGGCGGGGTGGAAGAGTGTCGCTCGGATATGAAGGTGGCAGTGGAATTGGAAGAGGACCTCCGTCTCAAGGACAGAATATGGCCATGGGTCCAGGTGACATTTATTGGGGACAGAGTATGATTTCAGGCAATGCAAGTCGGGGACAAAGTTTGGCTGTAAGTGATGGATGGGGTGGAAGATTGTTGCATGGAGGTGGTGGTGGAATTGGTCGTTGTGATCCGTCTCAAGGACAAAACATGGCACTAGGTAATAGTGGTGGAGGGGCAAGTGGTGCACCGTTTCAAGGACAGTATATGACATCAAGTGACGGATATCAGTACCAGTACTTTCAAGGACAAGGCTGGATTCGTCAGTACCGTTACTAAACCCTCTCGAACCGGCAAAAGCACCGCACCAGTATTACAACCTCCGAATCCAGAACCCTCCTGCCGACTTTGGTATTCTGGTGGTACATGGAACTTGAAAGGCATGGATTCAGTCTCACTTCAATTGTTTGACACGGGTATGTGACCACGAATTCTTTGAAGATGGGGTTTCAAATGCAGATAGTTACGTTTTCTAGATCAACAAATGAAATGATTATAAAAAAGACTGGTGCCTAAAGTGACTATAAGCGACGCTACGGAGTAATCTGCAAACCTTTTCAAGCTGATAACCTTTAGCTCAAAGAATTTAAGCATTATATGGACAAGTCAATATCTGTTATTTAGACATAGACATAGAGTTATTAATTTCTAGTCACTGTGCGGGGGTATTGCTCAAACTGAAAATCTATCAGTGCAGAGAATAGTTTGGCAATATATACCATATTATTTACTATATTAGTAAATTACAGAAAATCCTGTATTACACTAATATAATATATCCTCACTTATATAGGGCCGAAATAGTATAATAGATCCATATCGTAGTACGTATCGCGACCTCTTATACTATTCTTTGCACTGAAACTTATTTAGATAAACACGTGATTCATCCCCCTTTCGATCTTTTTCATCCTGTTTGTTTTGATTCCAACTTCTAGATTGCTACGTAAAAATTGGGGCTTAGTTCCATTTCCTTGAAACTTCGTCAATCGATTATGTACAGTACTTTTAAGGACATTATAGAGTTGCTAAGAGACGAGCGCTAGACTGAAATACCAACTTTATATATAGATAGAACTTTTATCTGAATCCGGAACTGTGTCAAGGTCTTTCACAGGAAAGGCTCAGGAGTTGCATTTGCAGCATATATGGACAGGTCTATGTTTTTGTAAGTATGGAGAGGGAATTTGCTTGATTATTTCTTGCTAAAAACACGAATTCTCCGGTATCTAGCCAGCTAGCTCTCTTTTATTATTCTTCCATTATTATCACTTTTCTAAATGGATCATAAATATTCGAGGCTCTATATCTACAAAAAATAAGGACTTCTCAAGCATCGCCACCGGCAAAATGTACGACGTGCGGATTATGCGTATCGTTGCCGTTAACGCTGCCGCCGTAGTCCAGATACCCCTGAATATGCTCCAGGGGAACATTTAATACCTCTGTTTCATTGCCCATTACCCATACGGTTTGCATCCCTGTAACAAATGTTAGATTCTATCAACAAGAATAAAGAAAAAGAAAAGAACAAGGCATTAAACTCCAAGCTCTAGCTGCAGATGCAGGGACTGCAAGAGATGAATTGCTTCAAGGAAACGAAAGGAACAGGATTGAAAAGGCTTACCCATAACCATATGCTGCAAAATATGACAATGAATCATCCACACCCCCGGCTCCGTAACGCGCAACCGCCACGCGCGCCATCCCATATCAATTCCCGGCGTTGTTTTCTCGGCGTATTTATACAACATCGTCGTATCCCGTTGCGCCAAACTCAACCCCCCAATAAGCTCTTCATTAGCCACCGGATCATACGTGCCGTTTCCAGAGCCAAGGTCATAGTAATGTGCACCGTGGGCGTGGAAAGGGTGCACATCGACGCTCCCAACATCTGAGCCAGTGTTTTGGATAATAATCTCAATAACTTCGCCGATCGCGGCAGGGAAGACTCGAGTGATGGGATCGATGCCCTCATGGGCGGTTGCGCGGTCGAGAGAGGGGAATTCCATGTTGTCGTTCTTGTATAGGGAGACGAGGTAGGGTTCGCGGGGGAAGGATTCTATCCACGGGCTGTCGTCTTGAGCCCACATTATTGAGCCGTTGCCTATGATCTGATGCGTGCGGACGGTGATTCGGCGAGTCACTTCGGAGGTCTTAGGAAAGTCTGGATTCGGAGTGAGGGCTAGGAGCTTGTAGTCAAGCCATCCGAAAGTGTTTGCAGGAAGCGTGAGGGGTGGTACTCCGGTTGGTAGCGTAAGAGATGATGGCTTTGGGCGTGGTGTTCGTTTTGAATTGGCGAGTTGGTATTCTAAAACTGCGTAGGAGCGTGTGAGAGATGGCCGGTCTCGAGTCTCCACCTGCAGGAAGAATTGGGACTTTGACAGGTCACTTCGTCGTTTCGTTTTGACGAGCACACTGAATCTTTGGCCACTTCCAATCTGGAGATAGGAAATATCAATCGGCTTCACGTAATTCCCATCCGCCTCAATTAGGGTCATCTCATGATCTTCAAACGCAAGGGATACAAAGGAAAGAGCAGTGCCCCCAATGAACCTAAAGCGGTAAGTCTTCTCCGGCTCAACGTTGATCGTAGCGAGTTCACAGTTCGCTGATGTGGTACTGCCATGAAGTTGCCCTTGGCCATTGACGAGGATGTTGGCTGTCTCTCCACTCCATTGAAAAGGGTTCCCAATCAGACCTTCTTCGATATCCGAGTCTGATTTATCGAAAACATCTGATAAGGCGATGATTCTGTCCTCATCATACTTAAACGGCGGCTTCCCAGCTTCTTCGACAATCAGGGGCCCTGCGGCTGTGACAGCCTGAAAGCCAACATGAGAATGATAGAAGTAAGTTCCTGCAGTTCCAGAAACAATATCCAACTCGTAATCAAAGTAGTGATTTGGTGGGATGGGCCATTGTGATGCGCCTGGGGTCCCATCACTGAATGGCGAAGCTGCCATGCTCAGTCCATGCCAATGCTACGCAGATATTAGTCATTGAGTTGTTTTCAGCCCAAACAGAATCAAGTGCCATTGTCAAATTCTTATCGTTCATATCATTAAAGACCCTTATCCAGTAGATATTCCCCTCAGTCAGTCGAAGTCCAGGCCCCGGTGAGGTACCATTAACCAAAATAACTTTATCTTTTGTGATGCATGATAGCGTAAATGGCTGTTCAGTAACCCGTAGGCTATAGTCTGGAGAGAAAGATGAACCATGCTTCGTGGGAACCGTGGAGGTGACAGCTTGCTCAACCGGCGAGATGAAAGAAACGAGTGTGCTGAATTTGAGGCCTGGTCCACCGCCGAGGTAAGTGTAGATCAGAATAAACAGCAAAGGAAGACTCCATAGTAGTAGTTTTGGGAAAGAGAGGAACGTGGAGGAAATTAATGGCTTGGCCATTATTGCTTTGCTTTTTGAGGCCGCCGATACGATCTCTTGGAACATAAACATGCCCGCATTTTAGCGCGAAGCCTGTGCAGGAATATGAAACTAGATACAATGTCACGTGTTATTTGACAAGTAGATCCAGAATGGAGAGGCTTGGATATGGATATTTGAGAAGCAGATATTCGTAGTAATCTGCGCCTGTGTAGACAGCTGCAATGTAATTAGTTTAAAATCGGGTTGTGAGATCTTGAGAGTCGGCTAAAAATAGGGGCAAGCCATCTGACCACGCCTCCATGTATTTTTACCAGAAGACAACTCCCTATAGGAAAAGCATCGCGCAAACTATAAAACAATTAGCACCAATCATTTATAAGCCCATGATATGTGTACCATGATCTCTTTAAATTCATTATTACTTTTCTGCGTGTCTCAATCTCATGCACGCTAACGCAGATAGGTCCTTCTCGAAACCCCAAGATCTCAACCCATGCTCAAATTAGAGACATATCCAGTCTGGACATATCCCAACCACAATTCATCTCTACCCCAAAGGGCCCCTCCATATACGAACATCAGCATTTCCTTCACCTTCACCTCCGCCCCCACCTCTACCTCCAACCCCATTCACACAACCTTAACCCTCTTCTTAGCCCTCTCCCCTACCCCCTCATCACCCACCCCATGCGCCCCAACCCGACACTCCTCCCCACCCATGCCCCAACCCTCACACTCCATGCACGGCGGTCCCCCGAAACACATGATATCCTCACGCCTGATACCTCCATCAATCAACTGCACACAGCGCGGACATCTCGGATTATTCTCACTCGGCGACCAAAGGTTTGGAGTGGGAAGCAGACCATGCTTGTAATCGTCGCTACTCAAATGCATCAAGACACCCGCTGCCAATTTTCCATGCTCGTGTGCGTGCTCGCGTGATGGTGAACCGGGGGGCGAGATAGAGGGGAATGTTGAAGCGGAGGGAAGCGGAGCAAGACAGAGCGGCGGGGTAGAGCAATGGCTTGCGGGTGGTTCTTGCGAGCCCGGATTGCGCGTGAGCATTGGCGAGTTGGACAGCAGTGTTCTTGGTCGTCGTTCCTGCTGAGGAGGTTCGCCTTGCTCCGGCTCATGAGGCAGCTCGTCTTGCTCATCTGAACCGTTGACATCATCTTCAGCTTGCCCGTTCTCTGATTCTTGTGCTGCTTTCCCTTTCCCTTTGCCCTTTTTGTCTGCTGAAGTAGCTGCACGTGGTTGTGTCTTTGCTGCAAGTTCCTTAGCCGGTGCCTTGCCCTTCACGGTCGGTTTTGCGGCTTGGGGTTGACGCTTCGGCGCTGCGGGCTGTTTTTTAGGGGCCGCCACCTTTGATTTGGCTGCTTGTGGTTGTGCTGGGGCTTTGGGCTTCGCTGGTGCTTTTACTTTCGGCTTGGCTGCTCCATGTGCTTGAGTCTTAGCTGGACCTTCTTTCACCGGGGCTTTCGCCTTTGGCTTCACTGCCTCGCCCTTTGCTGGTACAGACTTTGCTGCATCTGGCGCATTACCGCTTTTCTTCGTTGTGAGGTTGGGGAAGAGTGGTGTTGGAGATGGTGGTGGTTCGGAGAGCTCGGAGCTTGAGGCATCGTCGTCGCCGTCGTCGTGAGCTACTTTCGCATCGGAGATTGAAGGCTTCTTCGCTGGTCGGCTCCTGGTTCCCGCACTGGAGGCGGGGATGAATGGGTTTGGTGGTCGTCGCGAAAGAGCTTTTTCTTTTTCGTTCTTCTTTTGCAAGGTGAGAGGCTGAGTAGATTTTGGCTGTAGACTGCTAGCAGGACCGGTTTCGCTCTTGTCCTCATCTTTGTCACTGTTTCGGGGCCGCAAACTGCGTCCGGCCATCTTGACATAAATGTGTGTTGATTGTGGGATGTAACTTGAAGAAGAAGCAGTATTTTCTTTCTTAAATAGGTTGAGAATCTGGGTTATTGAATCTGAGACTGTTATACGACTTCTCATTGCTTCTAGTGAATCGCTGGATTCTTTGCGCAACATATTCACCATTCAGGGGCTTACCAGCCGTTTGTGGGGAATAGGAAAAAAAAAGATGTTCTTATTCCTTTTACGTTCTTTCATAATATCACTTTATCTATGTTTTAGAATACTTCGATCTTCCAACTGCGAGAGAATCAGCAGGAACCTTTCCATAGAACACTCAACGTACCAATCCAACCACCCTCAACTCCCACTCAAGAATCCCTCTCCTTAACCCCCTCCGTCTGAAACTCCAACCCAGCATCCCGTCTAATAACCCCAAACATACTACTAGAATCCAACTTCCTCCCCACCCCCTCTTCCTCCGCCCACACACTTGCCTCTTTCAAATGCCCCAGCGCCACCTCCCCAACCTTCAACCGCGTCCCTGCCTTTTCCGCGCAACTAATCCCAATTCCCACATCCTTGATCCCCAACCCGAGATCACTCCACGGACTCTCTCCCTTCGGTGGACAATAAGCTCCAGTCGTAAGTCTCTTGCTCATAGTATACGCCAACTCCCCGTAATTCTCCTTAATCAACATCTCCATATTCTCGCTCCCTAGCCCCGTTTTCTCTGCAAATACGTGGGCTTCTGAGATCATCTCCATCATAGCCGCGGTGATAAAGTTCCTATTCGAGAAAAGAATTTTAGCCTCTGTTGCGTACATGTGGAGCTGTAAATGTATTCAGATGCTTACCCCGATGTCTTCATCAAGCTTGCTTTGGACGCATCTTCTCCTAGCTCAATAACACCCCTGCCCATCACACCTTTCAGAAACGGTTTGATTGCATCAAGTGCCTTTTGAGGACCGGCGACGATGAATAGCAGTTGGCCCGTAGCTGCTACGGGGGAGGCGCCGAAGACGGGTGCTTTGGTTTACCATAATCATCAGCGGGCGAACGAAAACGATTGAGCTGAGTAGAGGAGTGGGGTGGAGTGGAGTAGAGTGGGGGATTTACCAGCTACGAATAGAGCTCCAGCCTCTGTAAGTGTACTTGCGATAGACGAAGTGGTATCAGGATGCACAGTCGTTGTATCCACGATAATTTTCCCTGCTAAGGATCCAGAAGGGGGTGTGAGGATTTGCGATACAATGCTTTGGAGAGCTGCGTCGTCACTGAGCTACAGTACGTCCACCACAAAGAGTCAGTGGGCTGTAGAGGTTTAAACGATAAAATACTAGGTGTCTGCCTATACTTACTGATAAAAATATAATATCTGACCCTTTAAGCACCTCGCTAACACTAGCAATAGGCACGCCTCCCAACTTTTCTAAAGGTGCACCACGTGACAGTGTTCGATTTGTGAAATGCAGAGGTGCTGCGGAATTTGCTTTGAGATGTTTCTGCAGGTTTGTAGCCATGGCTAGACCCATGGAGCCGAGTCCTAATGTCTCTGATTAGTTTTCATATGCGTCTCAAAGAGTAGTCATGACTCATGGGATTAGACTATTGGTACAGTACCTATCCATCCGAGCCTGGGGTGGGTTTGAGATGCCATGATTGAGATATAAGGGGATAAACGATATAAAGCTAGGGTGGTGTGAGTATTGATAGAAGATTGAGAGAGTTTGTAGTGTTTATATACGGTAGGATTTATTATGTAAAAAGAATACGATGCGTCACGATTCTCTGCACTGTAAAGGCAACTCCGGCGCTAAGAAAGCCATCTCGGCTGCGCTTGACTACTACCTAAGGTAGGTAGGATTAAGGGATATAATTGATGTAAAGAAATAAAAGATAACATAGAGAAAGAAATTGTTATATACGGTACCGCATTATAAATGTCTGCTTCTTACTTTACTTTGAGTAGTTAGAAAAAAAGAATACGTAACGCGTAGAAAAAAGCTCCTCTCGAAATGTTCTACAACCAAAGGCCTGATCTTTATAAGAAAACAATATACTGTTTCATTTGCAACTATACTTCAAGCCTCGCCATTCTCTATACTCAACTTGAATCCGCCTAGACAACCTTTCTGAAACAACCCATCGGGATCATATTTCCCACTCACCTCCCTCAAAAAGCGCCAATTCTCCTCACCATAGCCCTCAAACGGCTTCTGCCACTCCGCGCAGTAATTCAAGTACCGCCAACGATGGCCAGTCTTGTTAGCTGCGGCTATCGTCTCAATGTGCTCAACGGTACGCCGCGTTGTTGTTTTAACAAAGTCGTCGTTGTGAGCTTCGTTCCAGTTGACAGTGAAGCTTACCATGACGAGATTGTCGGTGCAGTCGTGCAGGCCGAGGGGGTTGGCATCGCCTTTTTGTATCCAGTCTGGCACGAGCGGTTGGAGCACGAGCGTCCATACCAGGCCTTTGATATTGACGTGGCGCAAGGAAGCAATGGCGTCTTGGTAGGCTGTGTGGGCTTGGGTGATAGTCGCGAGATCGTTTTTGATGGTAGTGGTAGCAAATAGCTGGCGCCTACCGGGTGGGTTGAGGGAGTTCATTTCGTCGGTTGCGCTGGTTAGAGTGCGGATCTTACAGGTGCTCCAGAAGCGCCAGAGGGGTCTGAAGGGAGAGTTCCGCCAGTAGAGAGGCCATTTTTTCTCGTGCGGTTGAGGTGCGGTATAGACTAGATTCACGGAGACAGCTTGAATACCAAGCTGTTGAACGTAGGAAAAGCATGCAATAGGCCCAGCAGCATTGTTGTCGATGCTTACTCCGGCTCTGTTGATGCATTCGTGAAAAGCTGCAAGAGTCTTAGTAGCCTGGAAAGATGGCATATAGAGAAACCCGCCCCAAACCATATTACAGGGAAAACTGCGAGCTGTGAAACTCGTCACAATACCGAAGTTACTGGACCCCCCTTTGAGAGCGCGCCAAAGATCAGGATTACTCGATGCGGAAGCAGTAGTGGTAGCGCCAGATGCAAGAACGAGTTCGTAACTAGTGACGTTCGAGCAGACTAGGCCGAAACGGGGCGAGAAAAAGGAGAGACCACCGCCTAGAGTCAAACCCCCAACACCGACAGCGGAGTTCCGACCGCCAACAACAGCAAGTCCTCGCTCATCCAAGACTCTAGAGACATCCATCCATTTGGCGCCAGCTCCAATGACTACACTTGAGCCGTCCTCAGATGGTGTCACCTCTTTCAGTAGACTGAGATCGATAAGGACCCCCCCTCGACAGTGGCGGCACCGGGAATTGGAGAGTGGCCACCCCCCCGAATCGCAAATAAACCAGCCGGCTTTTCTTCACCATATCCAGTTGCGTCTTTCTTTCCCTCTTCTCGTCCATCAAACTCGCGTTTGAGGATTTTGACAGCAGTCGAGAGCTGCTGCGCATCGCGGGGCTGGACGACGCATGATGGGATCACTTCACACTCCTGCTGCGCCCAATAAGAATCCATCGATTTCCTAAAAGCAACTTCGTCGCACGGGAAGATGACAGCGTCTGACAAGGCGGATGCTAGGGCTTTGCTCAGCAGGTCTTGGGGGTAGCTTGCCACGCTCAGGGGATTTGGCTCATTCGCAGGCTGTGGAACTAGAACGGTGCCGAGACGTCGCATGATGAAGATGGAAATGGTGACCAGAAGCGTGGTTATAGCAAGTGCGGGAAGTAACTGGGAGGATACGGCCATACTGATGTTTAAGGTAGTAATATTGCCGCAAATAGACGTGAAGGTGAACAGCCTTGTTCTAGGGATAGAAGTAAGAAAGTCTCTACCCCTAATCTGTCTATGAAGTTGTACGCTATATGCCCACTAGCGCCCTAGCCCCTGCTCATATCACGTACTTGGCCGATATTTTAATAAAGAAGAGTATATAGATAGACTATACAGGAGAATGATATGTATATACCCTGGGCAATCTCTGGAGCTTTTATAGTATCCGCTTAAACATCGGCGGCTAGGGCATGCCTTAGCTTCACATGTTACTCGACTAACTTCAAAGTACCTAGGTACTCTACCTTAGCGTCAAGGCGTATAGAACTTTTTATTTATTTTAGCCCAAAAGTATCTGGTTCAGTTGGAATCTCCCAGTGGAAGGGAGTTGGAAGAAAGATATAGAGTTAGCAATTAGACGGCATATTGTGGGGGGCTATAGACGTGCGTGAGTCACGTGGATCGGGGCTGAAGCGAAGCTGCAACACAAGGGGCTTCTTCTGTATCTTAAAACCACATCAAATGAGTATACCATAGTTTTATATATATGATTTTAATACGATGAAAACTTTGTCAGATCCTAGCCTAGAGCTCGCGGTTGTGTTGTTCCCTCCATAATATATCTAGTTGACCTATCCAACCTTGACGTTTATCTATAAGATTTTAGTTGCGCAACTATTCCCTTCTGGCAAAAAGACCATGATTGTCCATTATACTAAACCTTTCAGACATTCATCTACCACCTCCTCTCAACATCGCAAGCACCTCCACCCTCCCCTCCTTCCCCAAACCTCGCAACAACCCCACCAGTAACCCCCCATCTACACCCCACCCTCTTCCTTAAACCCCCCTCTCCTCCTCGCCCCCCTCCCCACCCGGCAGTCTCACCGCCCTATCAAGCGCAACCGGCAATCCCCTATGTCTCCCCCGAATCATAACCGCGCAAAGAATCAGCTTACTAGCCTTATGCCAGCCTCCACTAAAGCTATACGCCTGAGTCGGCAGTCCCGGACTAATACCCACACATCCATACGCGCTCACGACCTCGAACGCGATATTGAACACGGAATACGTGACGGGATCGCGCTCGAAGTTCGATACTTCGATGCAGGTTATGAAGAGCAGGGCCAGGACGAGCCACCAGAGGTCGTGCGAGAGCTGCGAGCGCAGTTGGAGGCGGATGAATTGCGTGCCGGCTGTTGTCGTTGTGGGGGGGAGGGGGGTCTGGATGTTGGATAGTGTGCGTTTGAATCTTCTGAATAACGTGCCGGACTTGGGGTGCGAGGGACCGAGCTCAAGGTCGGAGGGAGAATGGGAATGGGAATCTTCGGCGTAGATTCCGAGGGAGCGTTCTTCGTAGACGTTGGAATGCCGCATGGTGATGACGACGGGGTAGACAGAGATGTACATCATGATGACATATAAAACCTGCAGCCCGATCCGGAGACTCGGGATACTAATGATATAAAAGCCGCCGCTCCTCACAGCCAGAGCTTGGAACAGGCCATCCAGGACTCTGAAGTGGGGTGGGATAACATCCACGGCGCTGTTTCCGATATTCAGGAGTTCGAAAGCAGCCCAGTCGATGCCGTTTAAAACAACAACCATGAAGAGTAACCACCAGGTTTGGGCCGAGGGGAAGAGGTTCGTGTAGACGCGTCGAGGGTATTTGAGGACGAAGCGTAGCGTGGCTTTGTGTTCGGAGTGCATTTCTGGGGACGGGTAGATGAGACAGAGGAGTTTGAGCATACACCAGAGGATTAGGCGGAGGAAAAGGGGGTATCTGTTCTGGTTAGCATCTCATACCATACTACACCTACTTTCTCAGAACTTACGCAGTATTACCCGCCAAAATCAACAGCCCCATAGTGATCAGCGGGTACGTCGCGGATTGAAACGGTATCTATCCCCAATCCTCACCATTAGCACTAGTTGCAACCCTTGCTCAAACTAGGAGGAAGACATACCATATTAGCATCCAACAAACTCATGCCTGAATTGTTAAACGCAGAAGCCCCGTTGAAGATACCTAGCCACCTATCCTCGTCAATTAGCACCCATCTTTTCCCCATAATTTTCCCCTCCTTTATCAACAAAACGGAAAGAGAGAAACATTATACATACCAAGGATTAATCCCATTCCCCCTCGCCACCTCCGCTTTATTGTACGCCATATAAGCCCCCAACCCGACACACCCCAGAACCTGCCACATCACGAAATAAATCGGCACCACATACGCCAACAGCGTAATAGCTCTATACTCCACACCCCCTAAATGCTCCCTCTCCGCCCTGCTCAGCCCATAAAACTGCGCGTTGCGACCCGTCGTATGTCTTGTCAGATAATCCGGATACTGTGAGGTATCTAACCCGGCTTGTGCTCCTTCTCCAGATTCCGTGCCGGCATCGAGCTCTTTTTCTTTCGCCGAGAGGTAGGGTTGGCGATGCGAAAGCCCTTCACGTGCACCATCCGCGTTGGATGGCGCAGCATGTATGTGAAAGGAGTGTGTGTAGGCCGAGGAACTGGGACGTGGATTTGGATGCGCGCCTACGCCCACGAAAGATAGGACGCGGTGATGGTGATGCTCGTCTTGGATGTGGACGTGGGGCGTGGATGTTAACGATACCGGACTGTGCGACCCCTCTAGATCCGCACGCGCATCCTCATCAAGAACCGCCTCCTCATCCCTCTCCCCACGGTCCATCTGCTGAAGTTTGATACCTCCAGCAGCTGGACCAGTACTGGGAAGCCCGGGCGTGGGATCACGTGGCCCCGAATGCCTACTTTCAAACTCCTTCCTATCAACATGCTCATCCTCCCCTCTCAAGCCCCTCAACCTCTTGCCAACCTCCCCCTCCCCCTCTCCATCCCTGCCCAAACTCAAACTTCTCCTCCTCTCCCTGCGCTCCTCTTTCTGCGTCTTCACAATATGCCTGAAGCGTTGCTCAAACACCCTCTTGCGCGTAAACACCGTGCCCACACTAACAAAAACCGCACTCCCCATCAAGATCAACACCCACAGCAGCACCTGCTGTGCTGTACTCATCGTGCTCAGATTCACCGTGTTGAGCCCCGCTTCTGTCATAGCGGATACGACCAGGAAGAGCGAATCCGTGTACGAGATACTGTAGGCTGGATCGTCCGAGCACAAGTAGAATATGATGGAGGCAAGGAGACATGTGCAGATGAAATACGTATAATGCACTGTGATGAAATTGAGAGGTGGTAGGAAACTCTGCATCTGTATTTGCATCTTTCGGAGAGTCGTCTGGGGGCTGCTGACAAGCGTCATGTTGTTGGTTGCGTAGGTAGGCTTGTGAGAGTATTTTGAGATGAGGCGCAATGTTGCTATATGTTACATATAGCTGTATGTCGTTATATCTGTATGTGTGTTTGTATTTGTGCATGTGACTGGGAATGCAATTGTTGTATTCAGAAGAGGGATGTGGTGGAGGTCTTCTGGTTCACCGCTTGAGAACCCCTGCAAATTTTATCTTTCTTCGATAAATACCTACCTAGAGGTTAAAATGAACTAACTTACGGTTCGGCCCGATAAAGAGGTTTTGGTGGTTATCATCAGGTGGAGGTTGTATATAGATACTGTCAGATTCTACTTTCGAGGAAAAAGGCCTTTTAAATAAAGGAAGAAGTGTCGTTGATTGTCGTTACCGCCGTCCTTGGCACGTGATTACATATAGCCTTTGCCTTGTAAAGGCATTAGAACTCCAGGTCAGTTATATCTAAAATGCCAGTTATCCGTACCGGTAGTCATTGCTAGCCAGCCCTATGAGGTGCCTAAAATGAGATAGAAACAAACGGCACAGCATTTATCCGATTCAGCTTCATCTTCAAGCACCATTCAATTCACAAGATCAATCAATCAACATAGTCTGAAATATTCATTCATAGAATTCAAACAGGCAAGCTGCTCTCTTCTCTATTCCTCTGCTATCTTTCTTGATATATATTCAATCCATTCAATCCCCCATATGAACCAATCATCTCATCACACATGGTTATCATCCGGTACCGTCCGCAATCCAGAACACCTTCAAATGCGTTACGTGCTTCCCCTCCTCCATCCAACCCTTCATGCAAATATAACACTTAAAAATAACGAGGATTTCTTTGCCCTCACTCACAACCCAAAACGCCAGCTGTAATGCCCGCCCCGGAACCCTTCCGAGGCAACAGCGATATGTTCCGCCGACCTGACAAATAAAATTATGATGTGTGAGAACCAATGACGCCTATGACAAAGTAAATCCCGTGATGCAGCTGTGTGATGCAATATAGCGTACAGGCCCATAAATACAGGCGGTGGATAAGTCCCTGGATAATGGGTATAGGTGTTTTTCAAATCGTAGAAGGGTATTAGATAGCATTTGAGTTGCATGCCTTGGTGTAGTTTTCCTCGACCGTAAAGGGAGTGGTACTGGACCAGTCGTTCCGTCTCGGCGCTTTAGGTCGCAATGGCGTTACCATGGTAGCTGGTTCGAGGGTAGTCTACTTGGTCCGGCTCGACTTCTTTGGGTGGGTATATAGTGTTGATAAATTTATCGAGTTATCGTTCAGTGTCCGCGTTGCGAGGGATCTCTTGAGTGTTGTTGGCGACGTTGACCCTCTCCTCTCGCATTGACCCACTCCTGAGCGCCACTCTGTCTACCGGCAGGCTGCTCAATAGGCAGCTTCTGGTCTTCCGATGTTCGAGGACGGTGAGCGTTTGAGGTCATTGATGGTTCTCCGAGGTTGGATACGACGGATCGAGTAATTGATGAAACAAAGTAGCCTCTCAATTCTTCGTCTTCTCTCGAGTCCTCTTTTTCCAACTGGAAGCGTTGATCCTTTGCCATGTTCGATCGTCGAAGGCTGCGGATCTCGTTGGTGATGTAGAGCATCACCTCTTCTGGACACCTGTTGCGTTCGAGAGCTTGCGAGCTCTTGCGAACGTAGCGTCGGGTGACATCTGTCGCACCATCGATGGAGAATGCAATGCAATAGGACATTTTCTTTCCCCATCCATCAGAATATAGTCGGGGGTTGTCCCATGCCTCTTCGCAAGCGTCGACATGAATCCATCGTTTTTGCATCTCCGAGTAAACCTCCGTCCAAACATGATCTTCAGCATTCCATACCCATCTTACACGACCACCAACTGCTCGACACAGCATGCTGAAGACATTGGCCCATTCTCCACATCGTCCCTTTCGTGTTTGTAGAAGTCGCCACACATCGCCGTAGCGTGGAAATCTTTCATAAGATCCACAATCACCAGCAGAACATCTATATAATTCGACTCGAAGCGCACCATATGCTCTCTCGTCGTCCGTTGGAGGTGTCATTCCTTGCGCAATTGTTGGTGATAGACAGACCGAGCATGGGGGGTTGTTGACCCATGAGAAGAACGATCGCTTGAACCATCTAATTTGTAGTTAGAAATCGCCCAACAATCAAGTGAGAGTAATGCGACATACCTTAGTAATGCGCGGATAACACAGTCTTGATACCCCCATTCGGGTCGTCTGCCATCTCCCATACTCTCTGCCTGTGCTTGGAGCACTTGGCTTTCCTCTTCAGCCTCGCCATATATTCTATCCAATGGAATGACCTGTAACGCTTCGTCTAATAATCCTGGGTTTTCGTATTTCGTGGGTGTTAGTGCTAGAGAGATCATCAAGTTGCGGAACTTTTGCGATTGCGCATCGGCTGGAGGTGAAGGGACCTTTGGTAATGTTCGTAACGACGCATATGAAGGAGGTGTTGTGGCGGACGCATGCCCTTGGCCACTGGACGATGATGGCCGGTAGCCTGGTGATGGTGGTGGTTTGAGAGAAGAAGATGCTTGAGGTGAAGCTCGAAGATTGTTTGACGACGCTCGTTCTCGAGGTGACGGAGATGAGGTTCGCGATTGATCGAGTTCGTTCAGTCGTTTCGTGCGTAATAAACCCTCGAATTGCACCCGTAGATCTTTCGCCCATCGCTCGTCATAGTCCCCGCCGTTCTGCGGTGACCCGATGCCATTCGGGTCGGCCATCTCGTCGTACGCGAGGAAGATGTCGAGGGAGTCGAACGAGTCCTCCTTATCCCAATGTTCGCACCGCTCGTGGACTTGTATCCGTCCTATATTGAATTGATAGTTCTGCGATATACTGGTGTGAAGAGTGTAGAGAGGGAGAGAGGATCTGGAGGTGAAAGAGGGTAGTGTTGCGTGTCGGTGCACAGCCCAGGCCAGTCGTCGCAATCGTCCCCCTCGCTTAGTGGTTTAGGCACAGGAATAGATCGGAAGGGTGGCTGAAGGAGAGAGAGGGGAGCAGCAGCCTATTATCCTCTCGGCCAGCCCTATAGTGATAGTGAATGTGAATGTAGTGTTGGTGGTAGTATGGTGTAGTGTGAAGTGTTGAAAGTATTATTGACGACGACGACGACGAGGTTGCAGTTGAATTATTATTGTCGGAGGGGGGGAAGTGAGTGAGCTGCTGCGTAAGAGGCCGCCCCGATGGCAATAGCACCGGCAGGCAAGCTGGCAATCAAGCAGTTGGACGCGTGTGTTGGACGCACTGAAGGAAGGACTACCCACTATCCCGTACAGGATACCCGGGTACGAAGGTACTTGCTTCTTGCAGCCACCGGCACCAAAAGCCCAAGTCACTCGCAGCGAGTCGGGAGGCCTGCGCGGTGCAGCCTTGACGGCCTGGTATATGAGATGCTGATTGGCTCGGTTTGAAGCCCTTGCAGCCATGCGTGGAAGAGCTGACGACGACTCTTTGCAGTGCTGCCTCAGGAGTCAGGGTGAGGTTTAAGAGTGGATCTCGGATTGCAATGTACGAGCTTTGATTGGTTGCATCCTTGACCTTGCTCCGGTGTTTGCTATACATTACTAATGAAAGGTTGGAATTGGGAAATTGCGTGTAGGTAGTAGGTACGGAGTATTCAAAGAGGCCCATTTCTTCTTCTAACTACTCCCAAGTACTCGGTGCTAAGGAGTAGAAGAGTGGATGGATGAGGGGTTCATCAACGTCGTCGTCTACGGATACAGCAGAACATGGGACGAAAAAAAAAGAGACAAGAAGGACAAGCTTGACGATTGATTCCCCATTCGTGACTAGAAGCATGCATGCAACGTACTGTACTGTAAGGTACTATTACGCAGCCATCGCTGCCTGATTCGCGCAGCCGGAGGGGAGAGATACAAAGATGGTCACGTGTGGACCTCTATTATGGGGTCGCGAATCTACCCAGTAAATCCCAAGACGATCGAGCTCTCCGGAATACCTCACAGCCGTGAGGCTCAAAACAGTTGCCCACTAACTTGACCGATCTTTGCCTCCTGAGTCCTGACGCGAGTACTTAGATCTGACAGTTCTGGTCTTACCAACAGTGGCAAACTACGCAATCCTGCCGTCTAGTCGGGATTCTAGTACTATACTATACCGAGTTACTTACGCGAAGGAAGATTCGTCCCATCTACTCGTACATCACCGTCAATCAATCTTCCTCGTAGAGATACTAGAGGTACTAGAGGACGACGACGACGACGACGAAAAGCCAAGATGCTAAATCTCAAATATACTTTTCCCCCATCTAAAGTACTTTCGTACAAAGTTTACTTTTCCTCACCATCTCCTTTCCAGAGTCTCCATCCCTCCCTTCCCAAATTGATCTCCCAAAAGGACGCGTACTACCTCCGTGCTCTGGCATGAACACACCACGCGTCACTCCCGCATCAAATCACATCTCAAACTCCACCTCTCGAGACCCCCCTCTTTAAGTCAAGCGAGAAACATCGCAAACATAGACGTCACATCTCAAATCAAGCACAGATAAGCAGGCGATCAAACAGAAACACAAAAGCTTGGTGCAGTGCAGTGAAATCAGAAACAGCCTGCGCCTGCACAGCGCAAACCAGAGGGGTGGTACGGTACAGTACGGAGTACGGAGTAGTGGTGCACGTTTATTCTTGGCAAGATAGGTACGGAGTACGAGAAAGGAAGGAAGGAAAGAAGGACGCAAGGAAGAAGTTTATTTTTAGCTTGATAATCATCTCCTGTCACAGGAAGTAATTAAAAGTAAATTTTACAAAGGGGACACCACTTCATCATTTTCATCACATCATCCTTCAATTTTCAAACTGCTCTGGCTCACCGCAAAATCCCAACCCATCCTTCTCCGCTCAAAGCGAGATTCGATATCCACTCCCCCTCCACTCCACCTCCACTCCACTCCACTGGCAACATCATCAAGCGATGCCAAGCCTACGCACGATCTCCTGTTTACTCGATGGAACCAATCACCACCTCTCATAAGCGAGCCTCCGAATGTGGGGCAAGCGCGAGGCTGAGAGAGATGAGATAAACCGATGCGATGAGCCGCCTCGCCTTCCTTGTCCACATACTGGGCTCATCCACATATAGAACTTCTTTTCTTTTCTCCTCTCTGATAAGTCGGACTTCAAACTCCCACCTGAATCACCCTATATTTCCATCCCTTTTGCTCAAGTGCCAAATAGTACAGTACAAGTATATATATACCATAACAAACACGTGCACAATATATCCGCCCATCTACTATGCTTCCTCTTACTACTACTACTTCTTACTCAAATAATTCATTAAAGTAGCTTCTTCACTCCTCTACAAGCACTATTTAAGACACATCTTTCTCCTTTTCTTTTCTATCTATCCTAGTGAGACTAGGAAATATAATATACCATCACGGGTCAAGTGATCAAACGCGCGTATAGATTAACCTGATACCCCTATAAGATTTCATTAGGAAATACCTAGCTTGCATTCATTGCCTCCATTATAGTAAGATACAGATATCTTAAAATACCCAGCCCCGTTCTCTTAAAATAAAAGCAAACTTACGAAACAGCCATCACTGTCTTTCCTGCGTATAAATAACTTCCAGTTGGCTAGTTATATACGATGTATGTATTAATCAAGTGACGAATAAACTACTAATCTATCATAGCTGCAGAACTGAGATTTCGCTTTTTACTAAGATATATAAAGAGATTAGCACATCAATAAGAAGAGGTTTCTTTACTTATAAAGCGCATATCATAATTATATACTAAAAAAGAAATTTCAGTCTAGGTCTAGTCTAAGCCAAGTCGTAGAATCGAGAGTTATGCATACAATACACTAGATAAGTAAGATAAAACATGTCTCGAAACCCAAAACCCAAAATATGTATTCCATTCTATTCTATTCTAGTGCCAGAACACCATATCACAAATAGTTGGTACGATTGGGATTTAAGATTTCTTTCTTCACCTCATTTATATTTACATTTACATCTACATCCGCATTCACGTCGCCTACTACTAACTAGTATGCATTCCCATTCTACTAGGACTCGAGCAAGCAGGAACATTTTCTTATATTATGGGTTGCTTGTATCTCGCATATGAGGAATCCGAAACACGCCTTCTGGGAGAGTTGTCTGCTGGACCTTCTACTATGTGTATATGAACATGAGCTTGCGAAGATGAATCTGTCGTGATGGCTTAGTTGGACCGTAGGTATTCACCCTCTATACCTATGTAGCAAGCTGGCAGGCCAGCGTGGATAGTTTTTATTTGCCATATGAGGCAGGAAAGAGGTGATGGGTGATTAAAGAGGCGCGTTGCAGATGTTGAGTACGAAGACGAAGATGGTATGATGTGTATATTGCATGGGAGTATCTCATTTCGAACTCGCCATGATGTATACATGTATATACCAATTTGCAGAACTTTTACCAACCCACAGCTCGCGAGCATTACCAATGAACGCCACGCCATGCCATCAAATTCACCATAATATATTCACATCCACCGTATAATCAGAGCTCAACACCACTCTTCTCCCACTCCTGATCCCCATAATACCGCGGCGGTAAATCAGCCTCCCAGATCGGCCGCTCCACAAGTGCAACTTCCGGCCCAGCTTCCCCTTCCTCCCCAATGAGCACCATGCCCAATATCGGCCTATATTTACTCGTATGCCAGAAAGCTGCTTTGCCCTCCCCATCGCTCTTGGAGCTGTTCTCTCTCCGCAAGCGCTCGAGAGCCGTGGAAGATTCGTCTTCCTCGTCGTCATCTGAGACTTCCTTGACTAATGCATGGCTCTCGTCAACCTCTTCATGCACAATCTTCTGCATCTTACGAGAGATACCAGTGCCAAGTTTCGAGTCCGGGATTGTGCCACCGGCAGCCTTGCGTTTGCGTTTCTTGCCAATAAGCTTACTGTCCTTCTCTTCACCGTTTACCTCCTCGCTGCTAGGAGCAGGTAGATCCCGTGATAAATCAAACATCCACAACCAACTAACACCCCAGATCCAAACCCGTTCTTTGGATTCGGAAATATCCCAAACACATCCCCGCGCTAGATCCAACGTGTTCCTGAACTCCTCTGGGAAGACATTGGAAGGATTACGGCGTGACCAGGCACTGAGCCCGCCTTTCAGGACTTCGAATTCGAACACGTCGGATGTGGCGGTTGTGATTAAAAGGCGGTCTTCGCCTGCTGGGAGCTCGTGGGAAATGGGATGCGGGTTGTTCCTTGTGGGGTGTGGGGATGCGATGTTTGTTGGAGGGAGACTACTGTGTGCTGACGCTGAGGGGCGGAAAGAGAGGATGACTGGTGTGGATCGGAGTTGGGGGAGGGAAGAGGCGAGGGGATTGCGTGTCCAATGTTGGCCGAAGATGGGCTTTGGTTTTGCTTCTTCTTCATCATCAGAATCTGAGTCGGAGATGGAGGAATCTGATGATGACGCGGCGTCTGAATCTGAGTTAGTCTCGTCGAGCGTGAGGTCTTCGTCGCCAGCTAGAACGAAGGTATCGATGTAACCAGCTAGGTCGCTGACCGCTATAATCCTGCTATCTGAGGAAAATGCAGTTTGGGTGATTGTTCTTTCATAGCTGCCAAGACCGCCTAGGAGGACAAATTTTTCGATTCGTCGGTCTATGCGGCTTAGTCTTGAGAGTCGAGGGTGGATAGTAGATGACGTGGAAGAGCTGCCTGGAGTGATTCGTGCTACCGTGACGTTACTATCTGGTCGGACAATTAAGAGCCATTTTCCATCGGGTGAGAATTGAATAAGTCGTGCTCTGAATGAGAATGATGACGGGACAGTGACTTTGGAAATCCTAAGTCCCTCGCCTTCCTCTGCTCTCTTCGGGTTAAGTTGAAAGATTTTGATATCTGAAGCGGTAGAAACAGCCAGGAGACTGCCATCCACGTTCATGGATGCAGATGTGATGTTTGCTTCGCCCCTGATCAGAATCTTGGCTACTAATTTGCGATTTTGGGTTGTTGGTTCTTCATCGGAATCTTCGGTTTCGGGCTGGGGTTTTGACAGTTTCGTAAGACGCCAAATCTGCACTTCTCTATTCCACCAGCTCATCATGAGCCTTTTCCTTGGTACACCTTGGATCGGGGATTCCTGAGGAAGGAATGGTAGCGCCCTTTGGTTCTCAAATCCAAACTGACTGAGAGGCAAGACGGTAGGAGAAGCATCGGGACCTAGTCAGCTGTTAGAACTTAGCTAAATATTATCAAGAATAGAATTATACCTCCAGATACCACACAGCTTATTCCCTTGCCTTCGAAACTTGCCATCGTCTTCACATCATGGTTATGATATCTCCTGTGCGAAACTTCCGCCCATCGCATCCTTCCTTTCCCAATCTGCTTGTATACTACAGTCCTCCTATCCATACCACCGCTGACGATTGTTGTACCATCAGAGCTCGTTGCCAGACTGAGGATGTCCTGTTTGTGGCTCTTTACCCTCTGCATAAACGTGTAGGTTTTGCCATCCCATATTCTCAGCTCTCCAGTAGAGTCGCCAGATACAATTGTTCCGTCCGGCAGAGCCTTAATAGACCAGATGAGTATCTCCTTTGGCCCTCCTGTAGGTCCAACACCCAATGTCATACTCCTCAACATTGTACCATATCGAATATCGTATATGCGAATTGTGCTGTCAGAGCAGCCTGCGACGACAGTGTTTCGATTCTGAAAAGTGACACTGATAATCTTGGCTTTTTTAGAAGAAGGCCTAGTCAGAAGCTTTTGTAATTGAAGGTCCTCATCCTTGGTGGAGTACAACACCAGCGCTCCATCTGTGCAGCCCGCAATAAGACGTTGTCCTGGCCATGGACCTGTTGGGGCTCCATCTGCTTCATCCTTGACTGGCGCAAGAGCTGGCTGAGCAGCAAGACACCAAATCTCCCCATGGTTCCCACTTGCTTGGCGTAGAGGCTTTCCCTTCTCCAGATCCCACTCCGTAACCGTTGTAGTATATCCAATGCTGAAAAGCCTCGACTTTCCAATGATTGTGATCCCATGTACCTCCTCATTCGGGTCCTGCGTCCATACAAGCCCATCAATGCTCCTGTCTTCTCCCCCGCGTATCACCGTCTCCTGCAGCCATGAACCATCTAGCGGATTCCATATTTCAATATCTCCATTTGCGCGCCCCACTGCAAGCCTTGGAGGGGCAGTTTTCTGGTCCTCTTCGATATGGGAATGGGAAAAAGCGAGCGCATTGATTGTCGAGGGAGGGTAAGGAACGAATCGACAACGGTGGACATCCATGGCTCAAGTTGTGAGTTGTGAGTTCGACTTATTGAGGTCCTGCGATAAAAAAATGTTCTTGGAAGTTTTGGAGATAAAAGTTCACGGCACGACCGACTCAAGGATTGTCCGTGCGCGGGCGGTCAATGACTCCGGTAGCGCTATTTCTAAACCACCACCACACCTATGTTGAAATCTTCCCTCTTTCATATATAACACTAAATATCAGAGCAAATAACGTCTACTAGAGAAAAACAATGGCATTATCAACCTCATGCAAGACCGCATTTCTTCGGTACCAATATTCAATAGTCTATTTTCCTACCTCCTACTCTTCTACCAATGCTTTCTTTATTAATAGCAAGAAGCTGCTTGGATTCTATTGCACGGCAACATCAACTTGAATTCGAGGGGCGTCTTCTAGTAGACATAATGATTGATTGGTCTTTGGCTTAAGCGTCTTCTAGCAGAGACAATGGTATACATATTCTTAAATGCCCAGCAATTGCAAGTTGCAAGCAGCTCTACATTCAGTCAATTTATATCAGTGACTGTTTCACAATGTGTGACTCTCACCACATCAATTTGTGATCCTTTTTTGCAAATCCTTCCACTCTGAACTTCAGTCTTTTAAGATCACATTTACCTTGCAACACCACTTTTCCAGCAGGGTGACGACCTTCATCACCTTTGTGTACAATTCTTCCTGAACAATCTATCTTGATAATCTACCTCCCCGCATCGCCACCAATATGTGTGGCATCAGCGCAGTCATTGCCCTTGATGGCACAAAACCCAGCACCTATCAAGTCCAGACCTCCGATTATAGGTCAAAGATCTTATTAGACCTCGATAAAAGTCTCGAATACATCAAACATCGAGGTCCTGATGCACAGGGAAAGTGGATCAGTGATGACAATCGCGTCGGTATTTGCTCCTCACCTTCATCTCCCTATAGAGATCTTTGGAATGATTGACTCTCTCTAGCGTTTGGCCATGCCCGTCTTGCCATCAATGATCTCAGTTCTGACGGTGAACAACCCTTTACGAACCCCGAGCGAACAGTCTTCGCAGTCGTCAATGGCGAGTTCTACGCTCATGAGACTATCAAGGCAAACTTACCAGAACCATATCACTTCAAAGGCAACTCCGATTGCGAAATTGTCATTGCATTATATCTGCAATATGGCTTGTTCTTTCTTTCGAAGCTGCGGGGAGAATTTGCCATCTGCTTGTACGACTCGAGGAGCCAGATGTTCATCGCCGCTCGTGATCGCTATGGTATCAAACCTCTCTACTGGAGTATCCAGGATGGACGCCTACTGGTTGCTTCAGAGATGAAGGCTTTCCTGCCATTTGGATGGGAGCCTGAGTGGGATGTGAATAGTTTAGTTGAGGCTGGCTGGGTACATGACAGCAGAATGATCTTCAAGAATGTTAACAAGGTATGTAAACAACAGTCCGAAGCAAGCAATACATTGTTCCACGTGCAAATAGCTTTTGCCACGTAATTGACCTTATAACTAAACGAATTTGCAGATTAGACCAGGCAACTACATTGTGTGCAAAGGGTTCTCCAATTTAGAGCAGCGACAGTAAGCTACTTCTGCGTGTATCAGGAAACACAAATTCCAGCTGACATTGCCAAGGTATTGGGATCTTGACTTTCCAAACAAGGTACGCATCATACACAACGACTTGGTAATTATTAACAAAAGAAGCACATTGTGGATGTCAGATCAGAGCAAGATATGATTCAGGGTCTCCAGGACCGTCTATTTGAATCCGTTCGACTTCGTCTAAAGGCCGATGTACCGGTTGGGGTATACCTGTCTGGTGGAATTGGCAAGATAAACCCTTTATATGAAAGAAAACTATTCTAACTATCTGATAGACTCGTCAGCAGTCGCGGGGATGATGGCACACCTTCTAGAAGAAGAGGGCAAACTTGCTGGCCTAGATTCGAAGACAGCGAAGAGCAAACTACTGGCATTCACGGTCGAATTTGAAGGAGCAGAATTCAACGAAGCTCGTATGTAAATCAGAAAGCTTCAACCATGTCATACTGGCAAACGCTTACAAGACGCAGCATTGGCACAAAAGACTGCAGATTTCCTGGGTATTAGGCTCGAAAGGGTACTCATGAATGAGGAGGTTTATGCACGTCTATTTGAGGAAGCCTATTGGCACAGTGAGCATCACATGGGAGATCTCAATGTAGTGGGAAAGTATGCACTATCAGAGCTTGCTCGCAGCCATGGATTCAAGGTAGTAATGACAGGGGAAGGATCCGATGAACACTTCGGAGGCTATACTCATTTCTTCCCAGACTTCCTGCGGGAAGCCGACGATACCTGGCCAGCCAGCAAAGGGGACGATGCTGCAAGACTCGCGATGCTTGAACATGCGGAGAAGAATTTCCAACCCGTATTAAAAGGAATCAAGCTTGCAAAACAGCAAAATTCTATGTTCGTTCGACGGATGCTGAACAACACCGCTATAGCCGACCTTCTAACCTTCGTACCGAGAGGAGATTTTTCTTCTTGGACTGAAGGTCTCCAAACCATTGCTGTGCAAGAGACTATTGCTAATAACTTGGACGGTCGGATTCTTGAGCTGATGAACACCCGCTGGCACCCATTACATACTGCAGAATATGTCTTCGCGAACGGTGCCTTCCCAAGCATCTTACTCGCTTGCATGGGTGACAAAACAGAGATGGCTCACTCAATTGAAGGCAGACCCCCGTTTCTCGACCACGTCGTCACAGAATACGCCAACAACATCCCTCCTTCCCTGAAAATTAAACGAGACCAGGAGACGGGAGAGTTTACAGAGTAAGCAACTCGCTGATTTTCTCCGAACTGGATCAATAGAGCTGGCATCTTGTGAAATGTCTCAGAAGCGCTGATTGAATGAGAGCTATACCTCGAACTCTAACCCCCTTTTCATGAGGCAATACTGACTGCGAAATTTTAGAAAATGGATCTTGCGCGAAGCCATGAAGCCATACATTCTCGAGGAGCTCTACAAGAGGAAGAAACACGTAAGTCCAATCCAAAAGATCTCCCTCGTGCATTGTCTTACTGACTTCAATACAGCCCTTCACGGCACCTATCAGCTTCTCAGACAATGGACCTCTTCGCAAACTCCTAGACAAACTGATCACCGAAGAGAATATCGAGAACCTCGGCTTTGTAGACTGGGACAAAAGCAAGGGCCTCACTGCCGCTGCTTTCGGAGCTAAGAACGACCAGCTAGCGATGCGGAAGGCATTTGTTGTCGCTCAATGGGTGTCTTTAGGTCAGAGATTCGGAGTCAAGAAGGCAGTACCTCCAAAGGACTTGTGATTTTGACCGCTTCTTTACCATACATGACATTTCGAGACAATCAGACTAGCTCAACTCACCATCATGGCAGGTATCCCCTTTCCTGTACATCTCCAATAATAACTCAGCGTTGATATTCCATTCGGTTCCAACGTGAAGACTCAGCCACGTCGCGTGCTGTCGCTATGTTTGAGTGAACTTCCCTAATGGTAGCTGAAGCCGAAAGGCCTTGCTGAACATGTTCCTCATTCCTTCATTCCTTGAGATAATCTCCACTTTACTCAGAAAAAGGAAAAAGAAAGATCACGCTTCAATTCACATATAGAAAGTGTTCGCTAGTCAGTCTAGTGCACTTTCAGAGATCCAAACATCTATAAAAGAAACTTCGACCATCTTCCTGATGACTCGACCATCCCATCAACGTCTACGCATCTGCTCCTCAACTGCAAAGAACTTTCCTCTTCCTCATACAAATTTCTGCAAACAAACAACTACGCAGTAATAAAAGCAAACTCATCAAAATGCATTCTCCACTTACCTCCACCATCTTCCGCTTCGCCATCATCCTTCTCTCCAGCGTCACGCTCGCCGTACGAATCAAAGACATCTCCGCCCCCATCGCCGGCAACCTGACCCTCACCGGCCTTCCAAAGACCACCGGCACCTCTGTCCCGTCCTACAACCTGACTACTTCGACTTCCATCGTCGTCCAATCTCCGCCAAATACTACGACCACTGCTATCATCACCGAGTCCGTATCCTCGAGCAGCACGAGTTCCTCATCGTCTTCTACTTCCGTGTCTGCCACCATTATCCCTGATTCTGCTGCGCGGGGAGTCATGGATAATATGCCAGGAGGAGAAATGGTTTATAGGGTTGTTTTGCTTTGCGTTGCCGGCGTTTATATGGCTGGCTTGTAGGGAGGTTCATTGCTGCTTGGATGTTTGGGGATGGGAGGGTGATCTTCAGTTTAGGTGTGGATGGAGATAATGATAATTGTAGCGGATGAATGGAGACAGTTCTTGCGTTGATATTCAGAGGGGTATATACAGCATTGGAACTTGCATGGACTTAGAACTATTGTTCGTTCACAAAATGGAACGCCGTTGACTCTAAAAATCACATTGAGAAGACTGGCTATGAGGCAATTAAACCGTGTGTGAATTGAAGCGATCTGCAACTAGTGTGGAAAAGCATTTCATTTGCCATTGAGGGTTCACAAATACCTATTGTATATGTATGAAGTTAGAAATACTATCATGATCCTTGCAATTACACCTCTCGATATAAACACAGCTTGGTAGGACTTCCTTCCATTTCCACAAAGACTAATCTCAAAATGCATCAACATCCATCTATTCTCCCTCCATCCAAAAAGCCAAACATACCCTCTAAACATCCATCCAACCATGCATTATCTCAATATCCACACCACCCTTATCTTCCTCGCCCTCTCCCTCATCCCAGGCATTACCTCTAGCTCGTCCCACACCACCGAATGCCTCGCCGCCTTCAGCACTAAATGCGACAATCGAGGCGTCATCTAGTAGGACCCCGGTGCCGGTGCCGATGCCATCCGAAACGGGTCTTGTAGCAGTATTTACCGGGCTTGTTATTGTGAGAGCGAGCAAGTTGATTAAGGTTTCAGTTCTATAAGTCTGCTTTTTGGGGGTCAGGAAGGAAAGGCTGATG